CTCACACTTAATTTGATCTTCCAAAATGCATCACCTTGCATTTGTCCAGATTAAACTCCATCTGCCATTTCTCTGCCCAAATCTGCAATCTATCTTTATCCCACTGTATCCTTTGACAATCAATCTCACTACCTGCAACTCTGCCGATTTTAGTGTCATCTGCAAACTTGCTAATCAGACCACCTACATTTTCTTCCAGATCATTTATGTATATTACAAACAGCAAAGGTCCCAGCACTGATCCCTGTGGAACACCACTAGTTACTGATCTCCATTCTGAAAAGTACCTTTGCACAACTACATTGTCTCCCGTGACCAAGGTAGTACTGTATCCATCCAGCGATAGTAGGAACTGCCGATGCTGGAGTCTGAGATAACAAGGTGTAGAGCTGGATGAACACAGTGGGCTAGGCAGCATCAGAGGAGCAGGAAGGCTGGCATTTCGGGTATCCAGCTAGCCAGCTCAACCCAGATCCCATGAGACTCTACCTTCTGTACCAGCCTGCCATGAGGTACCTTATCAAATGCCTTACTAAAAGTTCATGTAGACAACATCCACTGCCCTTCCCTCATCAATCATTCTTGTCACCTGCACAAAACAACTCAATCAAGTTTGTGACACATGGCCTTCCAAGCACAAACCCATGCTGCCTATCATTAACAAGTCCATTTGCTTCCAAATGTGAATAAATCTTGTCTCTTACTATCTTCTCCAACAGCTTCCCCACCACTGATGTCAGGCTCACCAGCCTGTAATTACCCAGATTATCTCTGTTTCCTTTCTTAAACAAAGGAACAACATTGACCGTTCTCCAGTCCTCTGGAACCTTACCTGAGGCCGAAGAGGATGCAAATATATCTGTTAAAGCCCCAGCTATTTCCTCCTTTGCCTTCCACAGAATCCTGGGCTAGATCCCATTAGGCATCCCTCAAGTCCCTCTCTTTGTTGAATACCAATATGAAGTATTCTTTAAGGATCTCACCCATTTCCTCTGGCTCCACACATAACCTCCCTCTTTTATCCTTGACCGGGCCTACTCTTTCCCTAGCTACCCTCTTGCTCCTAAGATATGTATAAAATGCCTTGAGATTCTCCTTAACCTGCTGGCCAAGGACATTTCATGGTCTCTTTTAGCCCTCCTAATTCCCCATTTGAGATCCATCCTACTTTCTCTATATTCTTCAAGGACTTTGTTTGTTTTTTCATTGCCTAGGCCTTAGATACGCTTCTTTCTGTTGACTAAGCTGATAATTTCCCCTGTCATCCAAGGTTCTCGAATCTTGTCATTCTTGTTTTTCATTTTCACAGAAACATGACTGTTCTGCACTTTAATCAACAGGTATTTAAAAGACTCCACGTGTCAGATGTAGATTTACCCTCAAACTGCTGCTCCCATCCACTTTCTCTAATTCTTGCCTAATTTAGTTATAGTTGGCATTCCCCAATTTATTACCTTCATCTGAGGTCCACTCTTGTCCTTATCCATTAGTATCTGAAAACGTACAGAATTATGGTCACTATTCCCGAAATGTTACTCCACTGAACCTTTGGTCACCTAGTTGGGCTCATTTCCCAATACCAGGTTCAGAATGGCCCCCTCCCTTGTTGGAAGATTCACATGCTGTTTCAAAAAACCCTCCTGGATACCCCGAACAAATTGTTCCCCATCCAAAACTCCCGGCACAAAGGGAGTCCCAGTCGATATGGTGGAAAGATAAAATCACTCACCTCAACAACCCTGTTATTTTCACACTAAATAAAAACTGAAAGAACTGTGAATGCTATAATTCAGAAACAAAAACAGAAATTGCTGGAAAAGCTC